CCCATGTAGTACAATGGCAAAACTGGGGGGAATCAGAATCACTATAGACTTGGCCCGGGCGTCTTGCACACAATATGTACTGTCTATGCTAGTTTCATGAACAAACATATGCACCTAAAAACAGAACAATATGGGGTGAGTGAGTGACTATGATTTTATGACGCTTTTGGCAATATTCCAGCAGTATCACGGCGGGGACAGCAGAAATAGGCTTCACACATTGAACCCATGTGGAGAATCGAACCCGGGTCTTCGGCGGGACGGGCGAACGCTTTAGCCACTAGGCTACCCCACCTCCCGGAACAATATGGGGTGAGGTGGGAGTTTAACCCGTGTTCAACACATGTGTATGGCTACGACCAAGACGCATGCCGCGTCTTCTTACCAGACTAACGCTGATATTATGCGTTGAATATATGCTGGAGACAAACAAATAAAGGAAACACAGGAAATTCAAACGTTCGTTTAATATATTCCAGTTTTCATCACCAGCTATGAACAGCGCTATGGGAGTAAATCTGAGAATAAATAAGGAACTGCCGCTGAAGTGGGTGTTCCCTCATTTGTTTTCTCTCACTATATATATATATTTGATGGACAGAAATATCTCTCTTTAAAACTATAGAAGAGCAGCCTCAATTGAGCTCGGAGAATCAGAAACTGAAACTGAGGAGATCAAGACTGACTTCATCTAGGTCTTTTGTTCTGTAGAAAAGGTTGTGCGGAAGGAAAAGATCATGTGGTTCAGGGACAACAGGATCCCAATCCACAGAACGTTCGTAGCGCTACGACATTCGTTATCCTTTGATAAACTATAGAGTTACGACAGGTCGTAATGTTACGAACGCTTTGTGGATCGGGACACAGTCTTGTCATTTTACGACAAGCATGCGTTGCTGGGGCCCGATCCACAAAGCGTTCGTAACGTTACGACCTGTCGTAACTCTATAGTTTATCATAGGGTTACGAATGTCGTAGAAATACGAACGCTTTGTGGATCGGGACCCAGAAGACCAATTCTTTCAGGGTGTGTACTCGTCTGGATATAACGCGGCACATGTACCAATATAGACATAACACATCTGCACATCTTCTCTTTCGGAAAATTTCAGTTTCTTTTAGAGCTGAGTATATACACTACAAGTAATTAGTGTATTGTCAACAGCTATGTTTCTCTTTACACCAAACGGAATTTGTTTCTGAGGATAGTGAGTGAGTGAGTTTAGTTTTACGCCGCTTTCAGCAGTATTCCAGCAATATCACGGCGGGGACATTAGAAATGGGCTTCAAACATTGTACCCATATGGGGAATCGAACCCGGGTCTTTGGGGCGACGAGTGAACGCTTTAACCAGGCTGCCCAACCGCCCCTTTAAAATCGATGATATTATACAACTGCCTGTGGTTAAGTTGAATGTTGAAAATGACATTCCTTTATCGTAAGTTACTTGACGTTAAAAGTTACGTTGTTGTCGACATTTGTAGTTTTCCTTGTCTGACAACTGACATATTTACCTGTATCGAAATGTTCGAGACTCGTGGCAGTTGGACGCAGAGAGTTTCGTGAACAATAACCGAACGATGTTGATAAAAAATATAAAGTTGATCTGAAAACAATACAACAACGTTAGGAGTTACATCACATGACAAAATAGTTTTCGAACATGTTCATTGACTATTGTCTCTAAAAAGGTCATTCAAAATGTTTAATAAAGTAATTACATTCTGAATACAAAAACGTTTGGGATCATGAGTATATACATGTGTATCAAATAGTATGCTAAGACCTAGCTACAAAAAATATGCCCCGAATTTGATCATGATCCCAAACTTATTGTGTTCAGTATATAAATGGATCTCATTGTTGCCTATTGTTCAAAGGGGATGGGAATTGGATGCAGAAGCTGAAGAACAGTTTAATCTCTGAAATGAACGATTTACATATCAATCAGCGCATTTTACACATTCAGCACTGAGCGTCTTAAGCGAGTGAGTGGTGTTTTACACCGTTCTTAAATATTCCAGCAAAATCACAATACGGGCACAGAAATAAACTTTAGACCAATTTACCCATCAGGGCGCGACGAGCAAACGCTTTAAAGAGCTACCTGTGATTAAAAATATCTGATTCATGTCAAAGGCAAAATGACTTACTACAACCGACACTGCCATTGGACCTTTGATGATCCAGTACAGCTTGGGATGGCCATGGTGTACATTCCAGCACCTGGGAACAGATAAATATATTGGATAGACCGCAGAGATAATCATCATATATATTTTGCTTGATTCAGTTTTGATACATACCCTCTTCCCATTCGCTGAAAGAGCTTCGTTAAGAAGGTGACGTCACTCACTCACAATGAGTGAGTGAGTTTAGTTTTACAGCGCACTCAGCAATATTCCAGCTATATGCCGGCGGTCTGTAAATAATCGAGTCTGGACCAGACAATGCAGTGATCAACAGCATCAGCATCCATCTACGCAACAGGGAAATGATGACATGTGTCAATCAAGTCAGCGAGCCTGACCACCCGATCCCGTTAGTCGCCTCTTACGACAAGCATGGGTTACTGAAGATCAATTCTAACACGGATCTTCACGGGTTCCGACCATCTGATCCCTATAGCAGATGCTACAATCTTCAATCTTTCCCAAATGTTATAAAACACAGCAGCGGTAATTAAAGTTGTATAAAGAAACACGGCGATACGAATAGGTACACTGCAGCATAAAATTATACTTACATCGTATTGTCGAGATATAATCGAACCATCGCCCATGGAATGACGAATAATATCGGCATGCCTGAAATATATCGGAAACATAGCTTATTATTATTATTCCATAACTTTAAGAGTGAGTGAGTATGTTTTTACTTTGAGCAATGTTCCAGCAGTATCACAGCGGGGGACACCGTGTGGATAATCGAACACGGTGTTTCGGCGAAATGAAAAACGCTTTAACCACACGCCTACCCCATCGCCCCTATAAAGTGGCAGGAAAACAAGAAACACGTCACAGTTTAATTCTGGAAACCCTAAAGTCCAGAAACTCTCTGCACTGTGGCCACTTTTCATTTTTCCATCCTTAGTATATATTCATGACAGCTGTCAAACACAGAAAGTTGCAGTGCTGAGAGTTTCTGGACTTTTGGGTTTCCAGAATTAAACTGTGACGTGTTAAGAGGTGTCAGAGGCATACCATTTTGACATAGGTATGGTGCGGACAGTCAAAAACATTATCTGGGACATTTAGTCCTTAAAATACAGTTATCTTATTTAAAAACGCATGTCTACATCCCCCAAAAAACCCAAACAAACAAAAAAACAAAACACCAAACAAAAACCCCACAAACAACAACAAACATACAAACAAAACCAACACCCCTAAAAAACAAAGCAAACAAAACAAAAACACCAAAACAAAAACCCCACAAGCAACAAAACAATAAAAAATAGCACCCCCAAAAAATAAAAAATAAAATTAAAATAAAAAAAAAAAAAATAATAAAAATAATAAAAAATAAAATATAAAATAAAACAAACAAACAAACAAACAAACAAACAAACAAACCACAAATAACCCAGGACAAGTCTTATTTTAGCTTGAGGTATTCCAAAACCATGTCAAATTATTTTGCACTGGAGTTCTCCCTAAAATTATTGTCTTAGGGCCTTGGCAAATCAACGAAGGTGGTTCGTGCGTCAAAGGGACGCAACTCCTGACAGCGAACCGCTTCGCCTGGAGAGAACTGGGCCACCAATGCCCAATTAACTTTATAATGTCCCACTGAAAAACACATACTAACCCCAGCCAAGCAGCACGAACCACCGGAGCTTGGTCTTCTCCGCGAACACGGATATTGAAAGAATCAGCTGGAGATATAGACCTTCGTTGAAAATCCAGAACAGGTTCGTCATGATGGCGTAGTTAAACAGAGTGAAGAACAAGCGGCACTCCCAGTGCTGTAAACACGGAATGACAATGATAAACAACATATCAGTTTAGGCACTGAATATAACAACCATTTTGTTTTATAGGAACCAAGACGTCATGGCCACCAGTTCATATGTTCGACCCCGGTTAAGGATGATTTTTTAAGTTTTCGCATCTTGAAGCGACTCTAAAAGGCATGATATATTTTTCGTTCTTTTTTATCCAAACATTTGTATCACATGACGAGCTAGATCTTTAACGACAAGGCTGCCGTCAATTACCTAACAGAGAACTTGTATAGCGAGCACGAGAAAATATACTGGCGTATGATTAATATAGTCCATGGTAATAGGTGATGTAACAAAAGAGTAAATGACATCGTTATATTGAGTGATTGATTTAGAGAGATTGAGTGAATTGGGTTTAACGCCCAACGCAAATCATGGAGTCTAGACCAGTCAATCTAGTGATCAACAGCATGAGCATCGATCTACGCAGTTGGGATACGATGACATATGTCAACCAAGTCAGCGAGCCTGACCTCCCGATCCCGTTAGTCGCCTCTTACAACATGGGTTACTGAAGATCAGTTCTAACCCAGGTCTTCACGTGTTATTAGTTGAAGCCATAACAAACTCAGTCACCCTCTTCCACGTCAACCAACCGCCATACAGCTGGAAAACTGCTGAGTTCGGTGTTCAACAACCAACCAGTCCACAACCAGCACATCATTGACACTTCGTTAGCCGTTTTGTGTCATATTGTTTAAATAAATCCTATTACGTCATTCTCTAAAAGTCCAAAAACAACAATGGACACACATTTCAGATTTCAATTAACTTTTCTTTTTTTTAAAGGCACTACATAGTATTTGCCATGAATTGCTCCTGAAGGAGTGAGTGAGTTGAGTTTTACGCCGCTTTTAACAATATTCCAGCAATATCACGGCGGGGGAAACCATAAATTGGCTTCACACATAGTACCCATGTGGGGAATCGAACCCGTGTCTTCTGCGGGATGAGTGAACGCTTTAACTACCGACCCCAATCCTGAAGGAATGCACTACTGAAACCCCTACCGGTCCATCCAGGAAGATGATTTGTCCAGACGGCATGACGGCGACGTCGCCGGGGAAACCGACGTCATTCACAAGCAGCACGCTTCTCATGAGAGAAATACCAGCTCGCACCAGTACGGCCAGAAATAAGTTGAGATGGATCATGTTCCTCGGGCAATGAAGACGTCTGAAAAAACAGTTCAGTAAGAAGACCCATCGACTAAACTCTGATCAGGAAACGTAATCTACTCTTTCTACAATAGCCATTCCTGCTGACGCCGCCTACACAAATCCTTGCTGGATATAACATGCCTGTGGCGGGGTTGTAAATAGAAAATGTACTGTCAGAATCGTCTTCCATTCATGAAGATGCCCTGCCAAACCAGAGATGCTGGCACCAAAACGTTATACATAGTGAAAGGCCACGTTTTTTTTATGTTAGGCTTTAATAATAATTTGGTCTCGATTTTGCATCTTTGTCGAGAAAAATATATATAAACCAGATCACCATTTTCAAAATTAAACACGATGGCAACAGGAAGTGATGTTTACATGCCATGGGAATTGTGGGTATCATTTTTTATTTTTATAAGTTACATTACTTTCAAAACGACCAGTTACTTTTACTTATTTCATAACCTTGCCTTTTAATACATTTAATTTATTACCCACGAGGTCAACGTATGGGTACTTGCATACTAATCTCGTACGTCACACGAGTGTTGTATCGCGTTGACCTGTGTCGTAACGACATGACCTGAGATTCTAACGATTTGATTGGATAACCGATGACCTCTCAATTAGGTCACATTCTGACGTAACTATTTTTTCATTTATGACAGACAGGTGAATTCATTCATTCTACAACTTAAATGCATTTTGGGAATGTAAACATTGCGAACGTTGCTGTGTGCTGTTTAATTGTGAGTCGAACTGAGACATTATATCCGTCGAAAAACATAAACGCAATGTTTCCACCAGTGATGTTAGCCGAGTGAAGCAACTGAAAACCAAGAAACGAGGTGCTACGGAGTAGTTTACTGTAGGAGGCTGTACGAGGCGATGACAACTGACATGCATCGTGACGTCGGTTACCAAGGCAGTGACGTCATTTCAGTGTGACGTCATGCAAATATTGTACTACAGTACAAAACTCTTCCGCAACCTCTTTATGAAACCGGTTTCGGTTTGAAACCAAAAACATAACAAAAATACGCTATTTTGTCAATTTAATACATGTAAGACGTGGGTAATAAATAAAATACCACACTCGGTCTCTTTACATACGAATTATACGAAACTCGTGACCTTCCTATGATATCTGACCTCGCTTTCGCTCGGTCAGATACCATAGGAAGGACACTCGTTTCGTATAATTCGTATGTAATAAGACCGAGTGTAGTATTCTCTATATACATTGTTGGGAAAATATACGTGTAGTCTCATTCTTTATTGTTTTAATTAAAAAAGCACGGTTGAATTGAACGTACATTACCACGTTTTTTCAATTCAGTACCATTCAACTTTTTCATACTTTAAAATTCTAACATAAAGAACATGATTCTGCAAAGTTTCATTTAATGGACGTTACGAAAATACTTACTTGAAATACACCATAATGGCGACGGCCAGAATCAGGAAGGTCAAGGACACGGAGTAGCCAATCGTGTACATGAGTTTGACGCGCGGCATGTGTTCCTGGAATGGTGAGATACGTCCTGTAATAATGCTGAGCAAATTCTCACAAATTACCATATCGCTCTGGTGGAGATGACTAAATAACACTACCCGAATGATCTCTCTTCCACGTCATATCTCGTTCCACCATTAGCTTCTGCCAAAGGAAATGGTGAAGAAGTTGCTCTAAATTCCTATTTCAGACGTTGCTCAAGAATCAACACTGTCATCGATCCCGTTAGTCGCCCCTGAAGCCGTCAAACAATAATTTTCCCAGCTTCTCCTTCGGTAAAAAAATTAATATTGAGACTGGCATTGACTTTTTACATAAAAATTCAGAGCCAGAAACAGTTTTAAGGACGGGTAATAAAATACTGTAAACATGTTTTATGATATTAAGACAATTTATACAGCGCTGAAGTCCACGCCGCTCGGGCATGCCCTAAGCGCAGACAGCATGGTGGACATTATTACCCCGGATAACCCAAGCTGCCTGTGAGGTGCTAAAAGGTTAATAGTCACATTACTTATCCCACCGGGTACCCATTATTCTGCTGGGTGAACAGAGGCACTTTTTCAACAAACACTAGCCTAGGGCGGGACTGCATGAGTCACGTGTGCTTCGTTGTGGGGCAGGACAGACGTTCCAGAAGGTCTCAGGTATCAAGCTGCCAAACTCGGTCACCCATCCATGGACTCTCCATGACCAACTGATTTGTGACTTGGGTACCGTTTCTCAAAGCTATCGTAGCGCTACGACTGTCGTACCTCCTATACTGTGGGGTAGCCTAATGGTTAAAGCGGTCGCTCATCACGCCAAATGCCCCGGTTCGATTCCCCTTATGGGTACAGTGTGTGAAGCCTGTTTCTGGTGTCAGCCGCCGTCATATGGCTGGGATATTGCTAAAAGCGGCGTAAAACTAAACTCACTCACTCACTCACCCTATACTGTAACATAGACTTACGACAGTCGTAGCGCTACGATAGCTTTGCGAAACAGGCCTCTGGGCTCAGTGCACATGACAACCACCGCCTCAGGAATTACAACTGGAGTTACTGTTGTCGCAACGGATGAACTAATGACGTTATTTAGCTTTAAACAACAAACCCACCGCCTCCGTGGTGTAGTGGTTAGAGCGTCCGCCCGGAGAATGGAAGGTCGCGGGTTCGATCCCCGACCGCGTCATACCAAAATATGGTACTTGTTGGTCCCTGCCTGGCGCTCGGCATTAATGGGTACAACAAGGACTGGTCGGCTCGGAGTCAGTATAATGTGTCTGAGTGGGGTATTCATGCTTCACTGCGGCATGGTATCTCAGTGGGCTAGCACTATAAAACCAGCTTAAGTCTGGGCTAGTACAAGCAGCCGCACATACACATACACACGCATGCACGTCGTCATATGAGCGAAATATTCTCAAGCACGAAGTTAAACCCAATTCCACCACCAGCACCATCAAAACAACAAACCGTAACCTACGTAAGAGTACATACAAGAACAGGAACCCAAGCTGACACAGGGACTGACCGGCTTGATATATGGGGCTGCCACACGTGAACGATGCCTCCAGATATTTAATTCCAATACACGAGCTATCAATAATTAGTATCCGTTTTGTTCTCACATGTACTTTCTGCGGGATCAGTATTTCAGTTTTCGGTGGAGAATTTCTTTTCCAATTTCCATGGTACTTAAATAAGAGACTTAACGGCGAGGACTGCCGCCAGTCTATGAAACTGGCTAATTCGGACTGTCAGTGTATGTGTATGGGCGTTGGCGTTGGCGTTAACGTTGGCATACAAGAGCTTCCATTCTCTGAACGTCAGTTACGTAAAGGTCTGACCATTTACAGGCACAGTTTTGTTCGAAAAAAGTTCATCTCATCTGTATGATTTCATCTATCTTATCCTGAGTTGTTTTATAATACAGTGGGACTGGTCCTATTGTGAGGTCTGCAGTATATTTTAACACAATCTCCAACCCCTCCACCTCCACCTCCTACGTCATATTGTGCCTCCATATAGCTGGAATACTGCTGATAAACCAACCAACCAACTTCATATTGTGTGTAACAATTTGGCTTGCATCTCCACCCACCCCTACAATATATGACCAGTCCCTAAATGATATTCAATTTGATATTAAAAAAAGAAACTCCCCAAAACAAACAACAACAAAAACAATAGAAATGCAACGATTTTTTCATGGGATTAAGGTTCTTGCTCGGCAGAGTTTTGTGATTACAAAGAATACTCATAGTGTTTACTGAAAGTGTTAAAAACGCAAAGGTGACATATGGAACCATGTTGAATACTTGAATTCTAAGGACACCTGCATGTGTTTTTGTATGTCCGGTTAACCTGGTGGGCTAACTCTATTTGCCTGTACTATACCGTGATGAGGTGATGCAGTGGTTGCAGCGTCCCCTTGCTGCAGGTACTGTAGTTCGTCCATGGCCTGCTGCTGCCGTTGAAACCAAACCAAGTTCCGTCAGGGAGACACTCCTTCGTGGCAAACTCTGAAAGCATAAGTAGTTTTAAAACATTAATTTTATAGCATTTTGAACCATGAAATTGTGTTTGTTTGTTTATGTCTGTAAATAATCGAGTCTGGATCAATCAATCCAGTGATCAACAACAGGAGCATCGAGCTACACAACTGGGATACGATGACGTGTGTCAACCAAGTCAGCGAGCCCAACCACCCGATCCCGTTAGTCGCGGCAAGCATGGGTTGCTGAAAACCAATTCTAACCAGAATCTTCACGGGTTACACTCATGTAGTCACACACATCATTAAAGTACAATAATATTGACCATGACTTGAAAATCCAATTTCACCACCTTTCCAAAATTATCTATCTTGATTTGTGTTTGCTGCTAATATATAAATATGCCCTGAATCCATCACGTGTATTCTTTCGTAATAACATAGATTGTCTTTCACTGAATACATGCAGATCCCGGAGTTCTGTAAAACCTTCAGCAGACAAGTTTCTTCTCCGAGAAGTGCTCACCTCGTCCCGGGCTCATCTATCACTGTCACCTTCTAGCCTATTACCAATACATAGCTAAACTGTAGAAGTCTCCAGTGTAATTATCAGACTGTTTATGTGAAAAGAAAGAAATCGCGAGGGAACCCTTCCTACTCCCACTGTTGGTAAGCTCCTTAAGGGTTATGAAAAGCACGGCACCGTTGATGTACTCGGTATGTAAACATGAAGTTCAGTTTAACGTCGTACTCAGCAATATTATAGACAAATGACGGCGTTCTGTAAATAATCGAGTCTGCACAATCCAGTGATCAACAGCACGAGCATCGATCTACGCAATTGGGAACCGATGGCATGTGCCAACCAAGTCAGCGAGCCTGACCTCCCGATAACGTTAGTCGCCTCTTACGACAAGCATGGGTTGCTGAAAACCAGTTCTAACCCGGATCTTCTCGGTAAGGTTATAGTGACCCAGCTAGAATGTAGCTCGTGCTATCAATCACCACTACCCCATGCTTTCCAGTGAGTGAGTTTAGTTTTACGCCGCAATCAGCAATATTCCAGCTATATGGCGGCGGTCTGTAAATAATCGAGTCTGGACCTGACAATCCAGTGATCAACAGCATGAGCATCGATCTGCGCAATTGGGAACCGATGACATGGTTGTCAACAAAGTCAGCGAGCCTGACCACCCGATCCCGTTAGTCGCCTCTTACGACAAGCATGGGTTGCTGAAGATCAATATTCTAAGCTGGACCTACACAGGTAACCGGAATTATAATAAAAATAGTATGTAAACAGTATGAAACATTTTCAACTGTGACAGTTCACTATTGCAAGTGCTCTCAAGATCAGGTTATCTTAAACACTGCATGTACAATGAATCAAACAAAATCAGGCGGGTTTTTGTTCGCCAGTCGCTGTTGGAAGAAATGCACATACCTTATTTTATGTGGATGTGACACATGTGTTTGGGCACAAACAGCCTAGTTACATTTTCATAATGTTTGTGTTTTAGTCAAATCCTGTTTTCAAGTATATACTTATTTAATCCGACTGATGACTGTTTTCCTTTGCTATTATGTTTCACATTGGCAAACTATAAAATGTCTAGATATTACAGTTCTGTTATAAATTCACTATAAGTATCAGCAGATCGTCAGCTTTTTATTTAGTTTCAAAATGCATAAAAGTATGATAATAAACTAATTAGGATTATAAGACCAAATATAAAGACGCACATTGACTAGTATCTACATACTGGTGAGTGGACATGTAGAATGTAGCAAGAAATTTATCGCGCAGTATTGTCACTTCGACCCCCACCTCGCTTCCGTGGAAGAAATCGTTATGTTATAAGTTGTGTCATGCAAAATCCTTTTGGTTATGATTCCAATACATATTTAACTACGAGTAGAAAGTAGTTTTGATTTTCTAACTTGATGAAAACAAACTATAATCTCAATAATTCTAACAGATTTTACGATTTTCAAAAATGGCGGCGCCCTGTCGGGAACATCCACCAGTCTGTGGATAAATGCTATTTAGGTTTGTTTTCACCGAGTTACAAAATCAAAACTACTTTCTACTGGTAGTAAAATATGTATTTTATTGATGGCCAATAGGATTTTGCATGACATAGCGTATAACATAACAATTCTCTCCTGGCAGCGAGGTGGGTGTCAATATAATACTACTTACAATATTATTGTTACTTCGACCACAACCTCACTTCCGAGGAAGAAATCGTTATGTTACAAGTTGTGTTATGGAAAATCTTTATGGTCATCAATCAAATACATATTTTACTATAACTAGTAAGTAGTTTTGATTCTTTAACTTCCGTGAAGCGATCTGAACACAAGTAAGATATCGTTTCAGGCTTCCACAACGCTCGCTTCGCACTCACAAACATAACCCATTTAGCACGAACTGCGGGGTCCTGTGGAAATCTGTGCATGGTGACACCATCACCCGACCCCTAGGAGCAATTGACGACAAAGCAACGATTCGGCATGTCGTCGTTCATGTCGAGAAATCATCAAAATGATGAGCGTGCTACACACTTTCTATACAACTAACTGAAAATCGTTCCTCATATGACGTCACTGCAGTGCTCTGGCGACAGAGTTACGTAACCTGTCTGTGGTTTCGTTGGCGGGCGAGAGGGAAGCAGGCGACTTTTTGGCCACTTTTAATCGCTCGGTATTAATTAACCACAGGTTTTTAAAGAATAAATTTGGTGTTCCGCATAAGACTAACCACAAATCTTTCATATGTAATGGTTAAAAGAGTAACAAAAAACAAAGTTTAGTGGTTCTTTAACAATCTTACCTCCTTGATCGAAGCCGTTGATGTACGCCGGACAGGGTTGTTGAACGATTTCGCCGGCGGGGCTGTCGTCCCAGCATGTTATGTTGTCCCATGTTCTGTTGCAGTAAAGACCTGAATGTAGCAGGAATAATTACCTCATCAGTACAGATTTATAATGGCGGTTTTACGTTGTACGTCATGGTGATTTAGTGAGTGTTGAGTGAGTTGTGTTTTACGCCACTAGCAGCATCAAAACAGCTGCATCAATGTGGGCTGTACACATGACACATACCACCCAGAGAGTGATATAATGAGCAACGCTCCATGTCCTCGTGACATTCTTGTCAATCACACACGCACTCACGCACACACATGTACGCACGTCAAGTAGTAAACTCTAACGTAGGAGACGGATACTCGTCAATCACTCCCACACGCATGCACGCACACTCACAGCGGGGACAGCCGCTCACCGACACGCAAGCACACACACGCACACAAAAATGCAAGTATTTCTTGGTCCCACGGAAAAGTCTTTCTTCGATCTATCCGTCATGCCAACACAACTCGGACTGATCCTCTTTTCAGAGTGTACTGAACGCATTAGAGCAAACTTTTCTAACCCTTGTGACTAGAAGACGACTACTGTGTGTTTTCAGTTTTGCATACACATTTCTACATCCGCTCTTATCTGAAAATTCTCGTTTTGATGTAATGGTCCTCGTGGTTAATTCGAACGGATTCGAGTGTCTGTCCACTCCTGTGTCGTTTCAGTGATCAGCTGTATCTCGAGATCGGTAAACTCGAACATATGCTTTAGAACAAGTAACACACGTGTGTCTCGGCACAATGAACTCTCTGTTTTACTTGAACCATTGTCTTAGAGTTGCATGGTGGATGTCTCCACGTTTTCGAACAGCTGAATTGACGACTTCTACTTCAAAACATGGTTTATGAATCCATCAGACCCAAAAATATTGAGAAGTGAACCCCCCCCAAAAAAAACAACAAAACAAAACAAAACAAAAAAAACAATCTAATTTTATTATTCAGCCGATCAGTATGCGTAAAATGTTCAAAACGCTTCATTTGTTGTCGCTTTTATTCAGCACTAAAATATATTAACTTAAAAAAGTGAATTCCAAAAATTCAAAACTTATGACAAATCACGAGAGAAAATATATACTATTATATTCTAAAATGTATTACAGTTTTTCGACCTCCAGAACATTTAGGTCATACGTCCGTAAACCATAAGAGGATAAGTCTGGCCTGAGTCAGTATTAGAGATTCAAAGAACATAGCTTGGCCAACACCGGAATAAGTTTATGCCAAGAGGGTAATCGATAGAGACGCCGAGTCGGGTTCCGCTCCGTTACATGAATTCGTATGACTCTCGTGGTCTATTGAAGACAGGAAACCCATTTATCTTAATAAATTGTGACGGGAAGACATAACTAACTACTCCTTGCATGTGACACTGGTGTCTAACCCATTGACGGTAACTCGTGCCGATTGGAAACGTCTGAAATACCACCACAGTAAGGGTTCTGGTTACTGACACCAAGCGATCCTCTGTAACTCACACCTGAAGCTTGTTTACAACGATATTTATGCAAGAAGCTGGGATAATAACATCACGGTAATTTTATACATAAAGACCTGCGTGAACCGGTTATATCCGTTGCTAAATTAGCAATTTGTTCTTCATCATTATGACGACGATAGGCAATTTTAATTATCCTTTCGTGTTCTTAGAAGAATCCTAAAGCCATTAACTGTTAAGTGCGTGAGTGAGTTTAGTTTTACGCTGCACTCAGCAATGTTCCATGGCCAGCCATATGGCGTCGGTCTGTAAATAATCGAGTCTGGACCAGACAATTCAGTGATCAACAGCATATATGCAATTGGAATACGATGACATGACTGTGTCAACCAAATCAGCGAGCCTGACCACCAGATCCCGTTAGTCGCCTCTTACGACACGCATGGAACTGAAGATCAATTCTAACCCGGATCTTCACGGGTTTAACTGTTAAGACTTCGCCAAACTTCAAGATGAAATGTTGATGAATAGTTCATCTACATACATATGATCTCTCTATGTTTTCTAATGAAATCGGGGCGGTAGCCCAGTGGTTGAATTATCCCTTCGTCACTACGAAGGCCCGGGTTCGATTCTTCGGATGGGTACAATGTATCAAGCCTATTTCAGGCATCCCAGATCGTGTTATTGCTGGAATATTGCTAAAAGCAGCATTAAACCATACTCCCTCATTCACGTCAAATAAAATATAATTAATTAGATCTGTTATAAGGGACATTTTGTCTTCATGTTGGGAACGATTAGGTGCCTGACTCTGTGTGTGGGTTCGAATCTCGGATGGAACTCCATCCAACAAGAGTGCTAGAATCTGCTCTTTACTGAGAAAGTGTAATCCCAAATGTAACACGTATTACAACCAATCGGTTAGTGAGTTACTGACTTTAGTTGTTATTGCATAAAACGTTCGCTAGTAACGCCGAAGACCGGGTTCGATTCCCCACAAAGGTACAATGTGTGAAGTCCGTGTCCCCGCCGTGATATTGCTGGAATATTACTAATTGCTGCGTAAAACAATATTCACTCAATCACTCATCCACGAGGTTAGATTAGGTAACAGGCCCGTCCTGCCTGCCCTTAAGCAACAACCAACAGTGCGTGATCCAGTCTGTTAATCTTGATTCATTAGGGATAAAGTGCACCTCCTTTAATCTTCAGTCGACTCAAGTACAATAAATATAAGCACGTTATATCTAAACCCTAAGTAACAGACGGGCGAGATCCGCTTCAATTCCTACATCTGGACATGCAATCTTCAAGCTCATGTTTGAGGTTTTACGCATACTTGAAACGAAATCAACCGCACAGAGAAGTATGCACACACTTTGATCTGACATCCTTTTAAACTCTAACTTCTGAACCGACAAAGACAAATATCAATATTTCATGACTTACGTGGGGATCTCTTTTAATCCACCCCATACCAGTGAAGGTAACATATTTTTGGATGACAACTTCATTCTTCTATTCACTGTCACATACCAACTTCTAAGGGCAAAATGACAAATATCAATCTTTCACGACTTACTTTGTATGGATCTATTCTAATCCATCCGATACCACGAAGTTAAGGTTTTTTGGATGACAACTTTTTTGTTCTTGGATCTGCCGTCACATACCAACTTCTACAAAATGCCAATTAAACAGTTCATCCGATTACACCCCCATCCCTCTGATGCAGAGCCTTTTCATGATATAGTCCGTTTGGCTCAAAATTGGACCGATGAATTGCAGTCTAACTCGAAAACTACTAAACATATAGCACTGTTCCTCCCTTGAACCGCCGTGATGTTGCTGGAATATTGCTAAAAGCGGCGTAAAACCAAACTCAGTCAGTCAGTCCTCCCTTGAATCATTTACCTGTGCTGTCTCCATCCTTTCTCGCACACCTGGCTGTTCCTCCCTTTGCACCCCTCCCCCGTAACACATAGTGAACTGTGTCAAAATTTTAATGATAGTTTGTTAAACAACTTTTTTTATTATTAGGACATAAATTCTGCAAAAAAAATCACAGAGTTGGTCTGATGTTATGATTATGATTAGTGTTTCATTGAGTATTCTATGTTTAGTTGTTCTTTTAGAGTTAGATTGTAATTCATCGGTCCCATTTTGAGCCAAACGGACTATAATGTACTAGTATCATGTTATACAGAACAGGATAGGATATGTGACTGACAGTCGCTACAGCCCTTAGATCATGATGTACATTGGTTACACATGCTTTTGTGGTAGTATATGTAGAGTGGGGTGAATAGGGGTTTAACGTCGTACTTAAGAATATTTCGCTCATATATGCGTGTGTATGTGTAGCTGCTTGTACTAGCACAGACTGAAGCTGGTTTTATAGTGCTAGCCCACTGAGATACCATGCCGCAGTTAAGCATGAATACCCTACTCAAACACATTATACTGACTCCAAGCCGACCAGTCGTTGTTGTACCCATTTTTGCCAGGGCCAGGCAGGGACCAACAAGTACCGTATTTTAACGTCTTTTGGTATGAGATCGAACCAGCGACCTTCCTCTCTCCGGGCGGACGCTCTAACCACTACGACCATTTCTGGTGTCCCCCGTCGTGATATTGCTGGAATGTTGCTAACAGCGGCGTAAAACTAAATTCACTCACTCAATACTCGTTAAAAATTGCTACCGTGATATCCCATCATTCAGGAAAAGATACATGTCTCCAAACCGAGGAGAAATTTACGATTTGTTGATAAAACTGTGACATATGTTCATAACAGATTTAACTTCACTAAACACTTCAGCAGGTTCGTAGTTAATCACCAGAGTTGTGTTATAAGAGGTGCCACTGAAGTTGATGAAGGACGGGGCACGATGAAGTGTCAGGGTGACCTCTTGGTACTACAACATAACAAGGGTCCAAGGACGGACGTACTACATCACACAGCTGCCAGTTCATTACCAGCTGTTCGCAGCCCCAAGTGACTTATAAATCATGTTTTTTTTCATCAGAAAACGCTGGCTTGTTCATTACTTGACCCCATTGGTCATCTCCATGACCAGATGGCCTCCTAACCTGATCACCTGGCATATTTCTAGAACACCTTTGTGGTCATCAGTTTTACGTATTTCCGTAGAACTTTGGACTTTATGATTAATGGGAGTTTACAGAATATAGAAACTCTGTTTCCGTTTTTATGCGCTGCATTTATATTTAGCTCCTGGCGGTTTTTTTCGAAATAGTGAGACAGAAAACTCTTTGGTCAAGACGGCTTCACAGGACATGGTCAACACGGGGTCACAGGACATGGTCAACACGGGGTCACAGGACATGGTCAACACGGGGTCACAGGACATGGTCAACACGGGTTCACAAGACTTGGTCAACACGGGGTCACAAGACTTGGTCAACACGGGGTCACAGGGTCAACACGGGGGGTCAACACGGGGTCACAAGACTTGGTCAACACGGGGTCACAAGACTTGGTCAACACGGGGTCACAAGACTTGGTCAACACGGGGTCACAGGACATGGTCAACACGGGGTCACAAGACATGGTCACACG